ATAGTAGGCTGTATTTGTTTTTCTAGTCTTTCTTTGTTTCTTTCCCCACAAAATTTAAAGTTCTGGTACTAAATTACAGTGAAAGCTTTATTTGATACATTTTTATTAACATTATGTAATCAACACTTTCCCATTTAATTCTATTATATAAATATAGCTTCACTCTTCATCTAAAATCTCACCTTGAGGTATCTAGGTTGCTTAAAACATTTCTTCATTAAAATGTTACAATAAATATCATTGTTCATAAAATCTTTGGATTTATTACATCATGTTTAGATTTTGATGATCTAATAAGTAAAAAATAAGTAGATATGTAACAGAAGATACTCAAGACTCCATACCTGCCCATAGCAACCTGCATAATGAATAAGGCTTGGGAAGTCCTTGGAACAACTCAGTTCTGCAATGGCTTCTGTTTCACTCACCATCCAGCGTACACATTCCAACTGGCCATTCTAGATTTTAAGATGACAAAGAGAAAGAAATTCAAGATTACTAAGGTCTAGGAAATATCACAAAGATTCTAATTTTACCATGGGAAGATAGACGGATTTGGGCTTCTGTATCGGGCTTGTACTTACTTGGAATATAAACACAAGACCTGTTACAATCATGCTTTGTGGTTTAGCTCTAAATCAGCAGGAAAATTTCTACTTGCCTATGTCTTTGTGATTCTAATCAGTTATTTTAAAGTTATTCTGTTGGGCTTTGTGGTAGAGCACCCACCTAGTGTGTGCAAGTTTTAATCCTAGCAATGTAAGCAAATGAATGAATAGATGAAATTACTCTATTAGGTTTTAATTTACATACTGTAAAATGTAATTGGTAGTATAAAGTTTGATTATTTTTGAATATATGTTGAATATATATGAATAAAGTTTCTAGCATCCATGCTTTTATCCTTTTTATTTTGCCTCTGAGTAAAATAAACTCAGACAAGCTGAGCATGTTGCTCTTTGTATCTGGCTTTTTTATTAGTATAACACTCAGAGTTATCCAAGCTACTACAAATATTTTTTAATGCTTTTATTTTTTGAAATTAAAAATAAAATATAATTACAACTTTTTGGAAATATGCTTTTATTTCTCTTAGATGGATACCTAGAATTAAACTTTCTTTCCTTCTTCCTTTTTTCTTCCTCCCTTCCTCCTCTCTCTCTTTCTTTTCCCTTTCTTTCTTTCTTTCTTTCTTTCTTTCTTTCTTTCTTGACAAGATCTCTCTATTTAGTCTTGGATCTCATTATTTGGTGGTCTCAAACTCACAGAGCTCTTCCTACCTCCCAAGTGCTGAGATTAAAAGCAGCACCACCATGCCCAGCTCTAAAATTTGGAAGATTGTGGTAGGTATATATTTGATCTAGTGAAAAGCTGTCAAACTTGTTTCCAATGTGGTAAATTACTTCATACCTCGAACAGCAGGAGAACATTCTAGTTGCTCCATATCCAGGTGAACACATAATACTCCCAGCAATCAGTGCCTATCACCTAAAGTGTATTGTATCTATTATAATTTTTATGTGTGTGAATGTTTTGTCTGTATGCATGTCTGTGAACTATGTGCATGCCTTGTGTTCCAGGAGGTTAGAAGAGGGCATCAGATCCTCTGAAACTAGAGTTATAGTTACAGACAGCTATGAGCTGTCATGTGGGTGCTGGAAATCAAACCCAGGTCCTCTGGAAGAGTAGCCAGTGCTCTTACTCTCTGAGACATCTCTCCAGCCCTCTTCACTTATAGCTTACAAGATAGAGCAACTATGTTTCAAGTAAAACACTACTATATTTTCATGAGAAATTAACAAATTTATATTTGAAATAACAACTTTCATTAAGTAACCAGGTTAAACATTTTAATTAGCGGAGCAATCATAGTTCAAAAGGTGATAATGTTCTTATGAAAGAATCATTTGATATTTGTAAGTAATAAAATGATGCTTCAAAAGTCTGAAACAGCTACAATTTGCCCCTCGTTAGGAAACTGAAAGCGATCCCTCGTTATGCTGAAGGAGGGCAGTGCAGTGGAAGGAGACAAAAATGTCACCTGGAGTTTTATAACAACTTCTGTTTTTCAAAGTCAAATATGACTCTCATGCCTTTGGATTTAAAATTCTTTCTCATCTGTAGTCATCACTGGGTTTTTACTCTCAGCACTGGGAAATTTTAAGAACCTAAACAAGACATGGAAATAGTTAAATGGGAAGGTCTCTTTACTTTTCACAGAAAGTTTAAGTGGCATATCCTGGGATTAACTTCCAGACAGACCCTGAGATGGATGGAAGTCCTTGACCCCATAGTCCCCTCAGCCATAGTTACTGTGCTTCAGAGTATGCAACCGTCTCACAGGTAGAGACTACAGCATCACAGCAGGGATGAAATGAGACTTAGCAAAGGCTTGGTGACCAAAGCACTCACTATCATCCTACTCTCCCAGGTCTTCTTAGAGACTTCCTTAAGACAAGAGGCCCTTAATTGCCCTTGTAGTTTACATACTGTGTGTGTAAGCACAGAAAAGGTCTTGTGGAGCCTGAGAGGGGCAAATGAGCAGCATGTAATAGGATTATTTTCTCTTTAGAATCTTAACCTGCCGAGAAGAAAATTCTATTCCCAGAGGAAGACAGGAGAGGTAAGCTTTTCTTCTTTCATTTCTATTTGAATAGCAGAATTCCAAGTCAAGAATACATACACACACACACACACACACACACACACACACACAGAGAGAG